CACACACACACACGCGCGCGCGCGCGCGCGCGCACCCAGTGACATATTCTCTGTACATATCAGGAAGACAAATCATGGACGAGGTCGTTGTTGTCACAAGTCGAGCCATGCACCAAGGGTACAATGTATCTGCGTGCGTACTTTGTTTATTGTTGTGGTTCCTCCCGAGTTGAAACAAGCCACAGATCTCCTTGATCTTAATTGAGGACGAGAGAGAAGGGCAAGACGATTATATTTTTAGAAAGTCTTTCACATGTTTAGATTTGATACACGTTTTACGTCACTTGCAGCTCAAATAAGTCATATCAATGCCGGGGATTAAAGGTGTCGCTTTTAGAAAATAAAGCGTGTATAGTAGACAATAAGGAGGAGAGATAGGGACGGTAGATGTTTGATAGTAAAAAAACGAGCAAACTACACCAGAGATCCAGCCAACCACACACGACGATGAAATGAGAAAAGATAATAATATATTAACATGTTCCTTTTCTGGGGGGTTTGAAAAAGACCATATTTTGTGTAGCAAGTTTGCTTTCTGGCCTTCTGTTGGTTTGTGTTTAGTGCTATTTGTGTGGAGAGTACCTCGGGAGAAACAGAGAGAAACATAATACTTGATCTTTCTTTATTCTATTTTTAATGTTCAACGCTGAACAATTTTATGTTGGTATTCTGTTCGTGCATGTTTAGTCTATTCTTGCATAATTCAAATGTGTTTCCCTTTTTCTATCTTTGATCTTATAAAGTCTATTTCATTTTATTATTTTTAAAAGGGGAGAGAGGATGCTTTGGCTTCTTTGATGTTACGTGGTCGTTGCTTTTCAAAAATTGTGTTTTATTATAATATATTTTATTTTATTATATATGTTTTGTTTTTGTTTTTCGTTTGTTTTTTTAATTGAGAGGGGGGTGGTTAAATGGTGCTGAGTAATGTAACAAAGAACGAAAAGTGAGAGATAAATAGTATTTAACGAAGGAGGTTGAACTGGTATGAAGGAAAGATAGGACGAAGAAAGGAAGGGGGGTGGGCGTTCACTGGCCGCCGTCATGAAAGCACGCATACATCGTGGTGTATGGGCGCATTGTTTTAAGGCCATTTTGTGGTAGTTCTTCCTGGCTTTTTGGTTGAGTGCTTTGTTGTAAGGTTGTTGTTGTTGTTTTTGTTGTTTCCTTTTGTTTATTTATATTTTCTGAGGGCTTTTTTTTCTTTTTCTATGTCGATCTATATATTTCCTGTGTTTGTTTTCGCTTATTGAACAATATCTTCTATCGCACACTTATTTTGCCTTTGAAGTTCTCTTTATATTTTATTGTTCTTTACTTGAAAGGGTTGGATTCTTTTTTTTTTAACTGATGAGGGTTTTGTGCTAGGATCTTAATGTTATGGCATGTGGGGTTTTATTTCTTTGTCTGAGCCCCAGGTCGTGTTGCTCTTACTTTATATTACGTTCTGGGCTCTGTTGATGTGATGTAGTTACGTACACCTGCCCTATCAACAGCACAGTGCGATGGAATTAAGCAAGGCGTTGCGGTAGTAAAACAACATGATGCGAGAAGAAGATGGTCTGTCAAGGGAGGTGCCGTAGAGTTTTATCAATTTCAAATTTGGCCCCTTCATTTTCATTTACGGCAACGATCCTAGCGACAGGAAAGCTGTACAGAATTAGGTTGCTGGGTTTTTTTCGACTAGAAAAAAGATAGACACTCTGTTTAAAAGCAGCCGACGACTTTATAAAGTGATTAATTTCTCTAACTGTTCAGTTATTCTCCGTTTTCCCTTTCCTCCTTGCTGTCTTTCTGTCTTTCTGTCTGTCTTTCTGTCTGTCTTTCTGTCTTTCTTTTCTTTCTTTCTTTCTTTTTTCTTTCTTTTTTCTTTCTTCTTTCTTTCTCTCTCTTTCTCTTGTATTTTGTTTACCCTTCCTTCTTTTCCTTTGCCCCTATAAGTTTGTCAGTCGTATATTTACTACTTTCTTTAGTTCTTGATCTTGGCTAACTTTTATTCAGTCCTTGCTTTGTTAATATTTACACCAAAACGCCTTTCATTGTTCCTATACCGTTCGAAGAAAAAACAGATAATGAAAAAAGAATAAGCTAGGACATAAACCGGAGTAGGCGAACAGGAGCATAGACATAAAGGATGTTTATCTGTATCATCAATCGTAAGGAGACAGAAGTTCGTAGTGCTGGGGCCGCGTTTTGGAGTTAAACCCAAATAGTTCTAATGTCATGAAAATAGAGAGCATTCCGTGTACGCCTTTGATGGCAAGCCGCATTCCTTTCTGTGGAGACTGATGCAGTGTCACAGAATCCTCCACAGACGTAGGAAAAAGACAGAGGGTATGCCTGTGACTAAAAGGTTTACCATGAAATTAGAAAATGGCTGTAATGGTCGTTATAAATAAATGGGCTCTCCCACATTTCTATGGTCATGACATGAGAGATTTCCTAAGCGTTCAATTTTTTTCTTTGGAAAAGGGGGGGGGGGGGGGGGTTGGTTCGTCTGTTGTCGTTTGTTTGGTTGGTTTATTCTTCTGGTTTTTTTCCATCGTGTCACTTTTTTTCATCGTGTCTTTTTTTACGGACAAAAACGTTGCCCAACGTGATTAGTGAAGCTACCTTGTCCTTTGTTGTATGACAATAATTCTATTCTTATACGATCTCTGCATACCGTCGAAGTTATCCAAGATGGCCATCCTTTGTCAAAAAGAAAAGTGGTTGTCTTAGAGAGGTCGGTGTGTTGGACAGTTCCGTTACAATACATACGAACTGAAAAGGGGAGAGGGGGTGAAGGATTAGAAGTGGTCGTTTGTACAGGTGATTATCTTGGACAGGAAGCCTTTAGAGCAGGTTCAGTTGAATATCTCGGATCGCGCGTTGCTCTGCTTGTTAATGTCAGAACTGGGCAACTGGAACTGATGACATTCTCTGCTCACTCTTGCTATACTCTCAGAGTTGAGGGGTGACGTCGGTAGCTTAGTGGTTAGGCTAACGGACTCGTGCGTAATCATGAGATTGCAGGTTCGATGGTTCGAGCCCCAGCTCGGTCCGACGTTGTTTCCCTATAAAAGACTCTTTACACGAATGTCCCAGTTGGCTCAGTTGTTTCGGAAATTGACGTTAAACTTGGAGGTTTCGCCTCTTAAATAACTTAATAGTGTTGATAGGGGGCGCTAAACCTATAATACTTTCCAGAGTTGAGGACAGAAATAGGAGAGGAAATGAGTAGCCTCTTCTGAGCTGTTGCTATCTCACAAGTAGGATGGAAAGAGACCTGGAAAGGAAGTGATGGGGTGAGGGTAGGGTGGGGATCCTTTTTGGTGTAAGGGGAAAAGGGAGGGGGGTTGTTGTCGACAGGGGCGAGAATAAAACCAGCTTGAAAACCACATCCCCGGGCGACCTCGAAATTCGCGGCGGTTTATGGAGGTTTTATGCGTCTTGTCAGAAGCAACGAAACTGTCTCGGCGTGGGGCTTTACGACAAATGATACCCACGTTCATAACTTACTGCGGCTGGGCAAACGAAACGAGGGTACAGCTAGGGGTTTCTTCTTTTTTTCCCTTCTTGTTTTAATTGTTTTGTGTGGAGTGAGGTAAAAAGGGTGGCGTCCGTGCGGGCAATGCCAGGGAGAAGTACAATGATGCACTGTGTATTGGCGTGCAGGTACACGCTTTATTGGGATTTTTAGTACATTATACTAGACGTATTCTGTGCATGAGGGGAATGGGACTCTGGCTTACTTCTGCTTAACAATGTACTGTTGTCTTGCTATCTATCTATTTATCTATCTGTTTATCTGTCTGTCTGTGGGTCTGTCTGCCTGTCTGTTTTTCTGTCTGTACGTCTGTCTGTATGTCTGTCCGAAGACCAAAATGATACAACAACAAAATCAGTACTCACTCACATCTAAGTATAGAAATTCTTGGGCGTTGTTCTTCCTTCCTGAGCCGTGCACCATCTATTGATATGCAGTGGAATACACAACATGGACAGAACCGCCAAACCCCTCCCCCACCCTCATGAATACTAATGTTTCTCTTAAACTCAGACAGACTTCGTTCTTTACCGCCTCTTTGTCTTACCGACGTACGTGGTGTACTGAATTAAGCTTTTCGTCGACGTGAGTTCGATTCCCGAATTGGGAAGTTGTCTATCAAATATTTTGGTCTGTCTACAAGGGTGTTGTACAACTTATCGTACTCAGCCCAGCCCTTGATTGGCGGGATCGAAGGGGTCTGCCTTCCAAATGATCAAATTTGTGTCGGTTGGGTGTGAAACTCTAACAATTATCTACCTTCTCATTCCCCAGCCTGACGGTAAATCGACCAAAGCCTACAAAGGCGTCCACTTCGGAAAACTGTCCTCTCGTCGTATGGACTTCTACGGCAAGGCAGGGCCCGGCCCGGGAGACTACGACCCGTTCATCAGCACGGCCAGCAAGGCGGAGAACGCCAATGTACAGAGTGAGGAGAACTTCAGGTACGAGTCGAGGCTGCCCCGCTACCATGAGATGATCACCCGAGATGAGGAGAAAAAGGTAAGGATTTCAGATTCTCTTCATTTTTGTTTTTTGTAAGTGTTTCACCGTGCTCGCAACTTACTCATTTAGGTTGGCAAAATCGAAGTCCAGAAACCCCACCTCTTGCCCTGCGTTTGAGCTCTTTGCTGCATGCGCATCGCCTTGACAGTTTTTTAAAAGTCGTTTAAAATTGTAGTACAAGTCGACTAGTTTCTAGGAAGCTGTCTCCGAAACTCCAAAATCGATGTGTTCTTTCAAGTTGAGCTAGGTGGGTTTATATGAGGCATACTAAAGGATGGGGTGCTTTAGAGTAAGGTTAGGTTATTGGATATTAATAACCTTGATGGAAGAAATAGGGTGCGGTTGTAAGTTGACGGTTCGGAAGGATAAGGAAAGCCATACTCGTATAAAGAGCTGATATTTAAAAATAAATTTAATTTTCTTAGATGGTTTTCTTCATGCCTGCTCGTCATTTTGTTTGGGTTTGTTTGATGGGGTTTGTTGTTGTTGTTTTTTTTTGGGGGGGGGTTGTTGTATTTTAGAAAAACATTATTGTCTGAGGTTAAAATGGACTCGTTACTCTCATTACCTGGGCTTTTGACGACATAGCCCCCCCCCCCTTTTCCCCAAGCCCTGGAATTCGAATGTCAGTGGCATTATGCTCGTTCAGGAGAGTAGTTTTTTTGGTGGATACGTGAATGTAAATGGTGCCCTCTGTCTCTACCGACACTCAACGCAAAGTATAACTTCTTTGCCAGTCCGGAAAAAAACCGTAACGATGTAAAATTATACTGTAACAGCAGCCGCAAAGCTCGTTCCTTTGCTTGCCAAAGTGTCTGAAGTCACTGCTATATGCTTCAGAGTTAATCATTCACCAGTTGCTTAGTGGAGGCCGAGACTGCAGGCTTTGTACCGGTAAAACATGACAGCTGGAGTGTTAAAAGTCGGTCTTGAACAACAAAAAAGGCGGTTGAGCTGAATGTTGCGGCAGGTAGTAACGGTGTACAGTTTTAAAAGCCGGAAATGATGAGGGGAGGCGTATGCAAGAAAATGAGAGGCAAGGTCGAAAAACGAAATAACGGGGAGGAAAGAGAAGGATGGAAGATATATGCGTTTGTTGGAACTTGGAGAGAGAGAGAGAGAGAAAGAGAGAGAGAGAGAGAGAGAGACAGACAGAGAGAGAGAGAGAGACAGAGACACAGAGAGAGAGAGA